AAGGTTGCAATTTCACCAAGCATATCTCACGTGAGCGTGTAATCATATTATTTAAGACGAAGTAGCTATATAGATTCATTTTCTAATATTATATTTCTCTTCTCTTACAAATAAGCAATTATATAAATGTATCTATATTTGTAATCTTCGATATCGTGTAATAATACGATTAAGCATTATATATATTAATTATATTATTCCATTTATATTATCTTATATTCTTCTGTGCTCTTAATTACATATACAGGAATAAGCTATAAGATATCAATTATTTGTACCCACTTCGCGACGCAATTAAACACTTAACGATATACTATTAATCATTTTAATTATCAAATACTCTGTTATCTAAAGATAAATATCTGCACCATGCGAGCAAGTCATCAATACGGTGACGCGATCAATTAGCGATATTCATTATTTCTTCTCTGCATTAAAGATATCGATTTGCTGAATAAACATGCACGGTTAAAACGCGTGACGTTAATGAATTACAAATAGTTTGTGATGAACATTCGATACCCAAGTCATATAAACTACAACGCTTTCTGTAATAGATCGACAGATATTAAGTGGTCCAGTGTAAGGTTTCCAAATTTGATCGCTATTTCAATGACGCTTCATGGCATCTGTAATTGATATAAATTTTCCAAAAAACATAAAAAAGATAAAAGGTTATTGCCCCAATCTATTAAAATTTACGAAGGCGATTCCAGGACTCGTGATCGGTCTGCTCGAGGAAATCGCGAGATAGAAACGAGAACGATCTCATTTCGTCCAATCGAATTGTTGATCATTCGATCAAGCGATTGTTAAACGTGTCCAATAACCGATTAAATTCCGAAACGCGCGTGCCCAGAATCGGCGATAGCGTGAAATTTCAACTTTCCTTCCCTCTTTGAGTTCTCCACACATCAGAGAAGAACTGAAGGTCCTACGCGCGCGAGAAAAGGATTAGAAGTAGTAATTTACGGTCCCGCATCGCGCATCGCATCGCATCGCATCGCATCGCATCGTTTCGTCCCGTTTCGTTTCGTCTCGTCTCGCGTTGCAACGCTGCGTAACGTTAACGGCGTCGAATGAAATAGCGCCCCGAAGTCTACGAGCGAATCGTATATCAGCGCAATTAAGAGCGACTTCTCGTGCACGAGCTGGCGAAATAAGGAGCGCAGGGGCCAACAACAGCGAATACGACGAGTTTGCCGCTTTTATTTTCCGACGCGAACACGGATAGGTGGACGAAGCGGATGGAATTACGATCGCGAGTCTTGGAGGATCATTGAATAGCCGTTGGTGATCTCGTTAGATTTTTGCAAGCGCGAAGCGATCACCGTAGACAATCGCAGCGTACTGGATACTGTTTCAGATTCAAATTTCAAAACTCAATCGTGAAATATAATTAGAAGTGTAATTTAATTGTCGCTAAATAAGTTAAATCGGGGAGAGATTTTTTTTCCACCAATCTGGTAATCTCGCCAATGCTCAAAACTAATTTTCTCTATAAATTTAAATTTATTAATATACAAACAGCAACATAAAAAATAGAAAAACTATTGAATTTTCTAAAACTCTTCTAATGAAAGCAAAGAGTTGATATGTGACGTGAGATCTAAAGGGTATGTATCGTATATCGCACACAACATTTTAAAAAGTACGCAATATTCTCCTAATCCTGAATATTACAGATAATGGCAAAATCCACCGGCATAGAAACGGACAACACGCGCCAATCAACCCTCAAAGAATCTGATACATCGGAGTCACGTATGCCATCACCGTAATGACACATCGCGGCTCGTGCGTGAAATTAAACGCCGATTACACGCTCGCTCGCATCCCGTCTCCTTTTCGTTTACTCCTTTTTCTCCGTTTGCCCGTTGAACGTTTCCACATCAACGACTCAATCGCGCGGTTCTCGGGCCACGCGGGGAGGATGTTTTTACGCAATCGGTGCGCTATTATCGAATATCTTCCTGCCCGCTGTCCATCTTTCTCGTTATAACGATCGCGCCCGGACGCTCGCTCATGTCGTATCATGGCGGATCGCGCGACGTATCCGCAGATACGTGCTCAGGTAAGATACCTGAAGCCACAGCCTGTCTACCTACGGTAATCATCCGCCGCCCGGCTGGGTAAGACAAAAATCCATCAATCGCCATCAATCACGGAGAATTAGAGAAAACGGCTCGCGGTAACAGCGCACCGTGTGCATATACGCGCGTCTCTTCCGTCTCTCTTTCTCCCTCCTGGGTTCCCTCCCCTCTTTCGTATGCACGTATAATTTTTCTCGTCGCGGAGCCGCACCGCACGTCCATTTTCTGCCTCTCGGATAGCATCGTGACCGGCTTCGCCGCAGGGATTTCCCTCTTATCGCCGTTAAACGCGATACCCTACGACCGGGACAAAACATCGGAATCTCATTTGAAACTCGTTATAGCCGCGCCATGCGATTACCGTACGTACCGAGACTGTGATCGGAAACATTGGCCGAGGTGTGAAATACAATCGCACATTCAAAATTGCAAGAAGATGAAAAAAAAAACGAATTTATTGTATTCTAGCGTAATCCTCGAAGCAGAAGATAATATAGAAAGGAAAAATATCTAAAGATCAGCTCAGATAAATTACAATATTATTACGTGGTATCAAAAGCAAAAAAATTTTTTTAAATTGTTCCAAGAGAAAAGAAAAATTTTTGCCTTTCAATATCAAATACTATAACAATTTAAAAGTATTTATCGATCCAATCGTTCCACTTAATAGAAGTTTCAATCAGAGGTTTATCGAGAAAGATGTAATAACGTCATAAGCGAACACGCGGAGATAAAGAGAAAGATGAAGAGAGAGTAATCGCGGCAGTAATCGCGTAATTAGGTTTTCAGTGCTGCAGGTAAATGATTCCGGAGTTGCGGGGATCTAGTTTCAGACGATTCCGATCGATAAGATCGGACCTAATGGACAAATAACGGCGAGTGCATATCGGTTAAATAGTCGCGAACCGGTATTCGCGCCGGCTCGTCGCTAACACGATAATACATTCGTATCGTAATAAGAGTATGAGTGGACGATAATGGTATAACATCTCCCGGGTTTATTAGTATCCGCAGATAGCTTGAAAGCCAGTGCTGCGTTCACCGTATTGATGACTTCAAAATAGCGCGGCAGTAAAATCGCCGAACGATACGTTGTAAAGCCCTAACGCGAATTCTTTTACCGCCGTGCCGGATATATTCGTATTAAATCTTTCTTAAATCCTCCTTTCTTAAATCTCTTCAGGATAAATTAACCCGTACACATTAATCGATTATCAATTCGATTCAATGATTTCTAACGAGATGAAATGTCATACAGCCGTTTTCTTTTATGATCGCATATCTTCCTAAACGATTGAGAGAGTTGAGTGCCATTGTACATGAACTATACGATCCGAGTTAGTTAAAATTAGCGAAGTTGCCATTTAATTCTTTAATCATGATCATCTTTGATTCATATCAAATATTCATGTAAATAATATCGCAGATCCCATTAAATAAATTAAAAGTATCAGTCATCTTGTATCTTCTGAAGACTGTCATTTTATAAAATTACAAAAAAATTCAATAAAATTTTAATAAAATTTAATAAAAATTTTTAAAAATTACCTTTCTCATCTTTCACACTCGATAGTCAATTAGAATTTAGCACTAATAAAGTGACCGACTTAGTCACCGAAGAGGCCGCATCTCAGCAGTTGCACGTCACTGCGACATAAATTGAGTGTTCGATGCAGTGGATCATTTTTAACGTCGAACGGGCTTTCACGGAACGTTAAATGACGAATATGCAGCGTGTCAAGTGTTTGAGACGACAGGACAATTTCAAGCGAGATAATCGCGTCAGACGCAATCTCCATAACCGCGCTCGCTATCGTTGATTACTGACGCGCCGTCATTTAGCAATATTTCAGAAATGCCTGTTAAGACGAGATAATAGGCATGCGCGCGCATGCACGCGCGAACGCACGCGAATTGCCTTTAGCTGCCGTGTCTTGGCAGCTATAAATATGCAATTATGCGTTTTCGTCGATAATTCATGACTCCCGCCTCTCCCGTCATAATGTCGCGCTTTGTTAGATAAAAATGTAATTTGCATATAAAAGTTAGCGTGTCGCTAAAACAGTCAAGACTTTAGAGAATAAAATAGTCATAGTCAAATGATTCCCGGACGTCTATTTATGCCTATGCATAAACTACATGAAGATAAGAATGCAAACTGATAGCGCGCCGGTGAAAGAGGTCATAAAAAAATCGTCATAACTTTTTGTCTTAAAACATTTTGTTCCTAGCGTGAAAAGTCACGCTTTCTAGTAGTAATTCTACCTCATCTTATATAAAACGTCTTGCATTGAAATCTCAAAGTCTCGAGAAATTACTTTTCTAAATCGAGACGCAAAGTGGCTTTTCCGTCTGTCACACTCGTAGGTGTTATTTTATAATGCGGCGTGTCGATGAATACAATACGAAAGAAATAAGAGCAACGGTCAACAACGGCAATCTCTCGTGCCTCGTGAACGCAACACGCGATGAAAAACGAACGGGGTGATGGGAAGCAATAATTCATTGGCGAAAATCATCTTTCACCTCTCGCTCGTTAATGCCCTAACGAGGGGAATTAAATGTATCCAGCGATTAGGCGGCGGCGATCTCGTCGTAGAAATCGGTTCACCTGCGAGCGTGGGAACCGTTGCTGGCGGCCTTGCGGAACCACCGCGAGGCACACCACGGCTTTATATAAAAAACGCTAATGATATCTGATTGCTCCCTATTCACGATGATACCCGGCTTTTGCACGCCCGTCGTGCAGACTCGCGCCTCGCCTCCGGCTCCGTATAGCACGGCGACTTTATCTGGGCCGCTTATCATCGCGCCGTTCGTCCCGCGACCGCCGGTGGAGTCTCGTCAAACGTTTCTAAGTCCGCGACCAGTCTCATTAAGACGCCTCGCTCGCAACAAATGTCAGAGCGCTATCGTAGCTCGGCTAGTGACAGCGACCGCTCGTTAGTCTCTTTCCACGCGCTCCTCGATCACTCGATAATTTAACGCGTTACGTCATTTAGCGAGCGTCACACTCGGCGCGGATCTACCGGACGCGGAATCGGGAATTTTAGCCCGAAAGATAATTACCGTGAATTCTCTGGCGAGTTCTCTGTCGAAAAAATTGCCCTCGGCATAGGATGGCTCGATCCGCGACGCAACCGTAGATTCTATCGCGCTGCCTATCATGCTTATTGTTAACATTCGGCGAAAGTATCGACGAGGCGAGTTTCGCGCGACGCTCTTGGAATAATTTCGGTAAGTGTCTTCAAAGGAGTGCGCGAACGCGCGTGGCGCGATCCCATCTCTGAGACAGTAACAATCGTGCGTCATATACAACAGGCAATTTGAGATAGCCTGTAAATTTTTCGATAAGATACCGTTGTTGGACAAGCCTTGATACCTGACATTTCTGATGTTGCAAGTAAGTGCAAAACATTTACAGACTTATCAAAATAATTCGATAGAAAAATATTTGCTCTTTGCTTTATATAAAGTTATAGGATTATAGATTATAAATGACGGATTACGATAACAAGGAACACATTCTAATTTAGAAATATTTGTATGTCCATAAGTAGTTTGGTATCTGAACATATCTAAATAACACTTGGCCCTAAAACATCGGTAAAACTCCACGATGAGGAGTTATCACGCGCTTCCGAGTGCAACACCTTCGCGGGCATCCAGGAATAAAAAAACTGACCGTGCGAATTGAAATGCCGGGCGGGTAGCTTCTCGCTCGTGTCGGCGGTGGGCATCTACTCCCGCGGCCGAGTTCGTGACGCTGGGAGGCAGCGGATTTGCGGCAACAACAGGAGGTCCGCCGTAGGTAAAACAATGGTCGCGAGCACCCTGACAGGCCGATCGAAGGAACGGAAAGGGAGGGAGCGAACCGCTGGCCGAAGCCTCTTGTGGGAGGAAACTGGCAAACTCATTCCCAGCCCGAGAGAGCCTCGACATTTCCCGTCATGAAGGTACCCCCGTCTATTTATCCTTCCGAAACGCCTAGATCGAGACATTCCAGAAACGGGGAAAGGGACAGTGGCGGCGGGAGAAGGATCGATGAGAACGGCGGATAGTTCGGCCCAATGAGTGATATTCCGATTTGCGCAAGAGCGCCGATCCTCGCTGCGACTGGGCGACCAGAAGAGCGTCAATTTATCCCGACTCGCGTCGCGTAATTAGAGATTGATCGAACTTGAGAAATATATATCAGCGCGTCGGGCTCGTCATCGAGCTAATTAATCAACTTTGAGTCATCGATTAAGTTGTGTCCGGCGATATCTGTATTAAATCATCATAAATTGCAGATGGTCTCTTTAAACTAGAAATTTCTCTTTATCGTAATTTCGAGATAAACAAAAAATTCAAATTAGCGTGAATATTTTGATATAAAAAAAAAACGCGAATCTCTATTACCTCTTACATTTAATTCAATAGAATTAAACTTATTTATAAGATTAAATCAAGATTCACGTGCACATGTACGATATAATTTCAGCAATATTTGCTAAATAAGAATATTTTTATATTGAAACCGAGGATATTCTCAGAATATTCCAAAATATTTCATTTTACGTTTAGCAGGCTTGTTAGAACGATAGTTTGTTAAACGATTTTATGTCTAAATTGCAAGCTATTTTGTATACTTTTTTCTCTCTTCGCGAATATATCACATAAACTGTTATTACTGGATATCTCGTCCCGATCGAGATTTAATATTATTTAAACGAGTAACTATGTGAATATTATAAAAGTTATAACTTACAGAACTGTAAAAAATTTTGATTTATATGACAGTGAAGAGACATTGTCCTTCCAATGTATTATTCAAATATACGCTCGACGAGAAGATTAACGTATTATTTCAACAATAACAGGTTTAGCTTCACAAAAAATTGCGAAAAGTGGACCTAAATCTAAACACTAATGGTTTACTTTTTACAAATAACGCGGACTAGAACGCTCTAATTTGCTCCACGCACGGCACGGAAAAAGTGAGCTCGTTTGATGACCCACTAAAATATACCGAGTCTCTCCTGGCCGTTAATGCGATAATTTGTTAGGCATTAGCGAGACATCGCACAAGCTACACTTTAGCGATACGGATGGGTCCGCTTAAAAACGGGCGAGCCCAATAACGAGAGAACGATGACTCGCGTAGGAAAGCAGAGGTCAAAAGCGGAACGGTACCGGCGACCGGTACATGACGACCAGACGCGAATCTCCCCCGTAGTTCCCATCCAACGTGAATTCGTTATTCACTCCTAGGTACGAATCCTCCGCTCCGGACGCGAGCGCAGACGCCGGCCTATCGCGCTGCCTCCACGAGCGTTTAACCTTAATGACGCGTCTTTAACGACGTACAACGGTTAGCCGTGCGATGCCGAAGCGGAGAGCCGTTCTACGCTCATGGCGTCGGGTGCACCGTTTCCCACGAACCTGTCTAAGGGATCGCTTCGTGGCGGGCCGCGATCTCTTAATTGTTACTTCGGCGGACATCGTACATGCTCCTCGCGCCGGATCGAAGGCGATGCGCCAGCACGAAAACGAGATTAACCATATCACCGCCCGACGATGCGTCAGCGAGTCCCAGCGAGGATGACGAGTATCAGAGAAAGGCTTAACTTGAAAGAAATAAGTATTATATATGGGAACGACGATTATTAGTAATGCAGTTTCAAAGAAGTATCAAACTTTCCTGCGAAGTGAGATGACGCATTCTTCACAACTATCATCACGGAGAAATTTTATATCAAATTAGTAGTAGTTAATTTCGTATATATATTGCATTTGTGTGAATACATATCGAATACAACAACTTTCAAACCAGTTAAAAATAAAAAATCAATTTAGTATCTATTTATTTTATAAATATAATATAATTTAATATTATAAAAAGTGACAAAACATTTAAAAATAGAAGAGCAAGAGAGATGCATTCTTAAAGGTGCCATTATACTTGAGATAAATACAATAAGTTGCGCTATTCCGTCATCTCTATCATTGTTGATCGAGATAGTCTTACAAAATCGCAAGCTTTGTTCTTACAATCTCTGGCATCAATCTAACAAGATTTTATCATAAATCAGGATAAAACTTCAACTGCAAATGATCACGAAGTCTCGATTGTGTCTTGTGACGTGTATCGTACCAATTGATCATATTTATTTTTAATATTTTTATCACTCGATGGAGGATCAATACTCTGCTCGGGCCAAAAAACAATGGAGTCGTCGTCGTCGTCGTCGTCGTCGTCGTGTATGCATCAACAATAACGTTACGGTAATCTCACGGGCGGCCGGTTCGTTTCGTCCTTTGCAAATGCCGCGAGTTGCAGCGGCGGATCGTCCACCGATTGGTCGGGTATTCCCTGTTTTTTTACAACGCAACCGATGCAAAACGAGCACGGTCGGGCCAGGACGGACGCGGATTGGCCGGTCGGCCGCCTCGACTTTTCCGATTAGAAATCAACACCGTAGTGGATGCCCCTCTACTTAGGAGGAGCCTGCTGAAGTAGGTCATCCTATCTTGCCTTGGACTAGCGGTAAAATAGCCTCTCTCCTCTGCCCGGGTGGGGGTGGTGTGGAGGGGCCTCTCTTCGCTTCCTCCGGTGACTCCGTTATTACCACGGCCTCTCCCGACGCGATTCTCCGGGTGTTTTCATAGAAAAAAACGGATGGCAAATGGAGGCTGTACCGATTTGATTAAAACGAAGAATGAGAAAATAATGTTACTTCAATACGACGAGTAATCTCCGTCGGGAGATTTTTAATTACCGTACATTTTAGAGTTAGGTCCCAGAACTCGAATGAATTTCACTTCAAGTAATGATTTACGTAGTGCCTAATCAGACAGGGTAATTTGTTGTGGAAAGAAACCACCATTCCTGGTGGCCACCATCGCGTGAGCAACCGCGTTGTCACTAATGTTACGAGTTTCAATATTTCTTAATATCTTAATGAGAAAGCGCATTACTGCGCCATTTGATGCTCACACCGCCGATACGAAATTGTATGTATGTATGTATATATTGATCGCGTGCTCGCGCGCTATCATGTCACCGCGTTTCTAAAGAAACGGGGTGTATTTACTATAATCAGGGTGTATCTTCTTCGCGATGTCCGACGATAGTCTCGAGATCGAATGGCAGCCTCGTGTCTCAGGGACAGCGTGAGTATACGTTTTGCGTAAGAATATTAATCATGTAATATTTCTTAAGTTTTCTCAACTGATCACATTTAATTATATATAATTACTCGAGATAAGTTCATCTAAAAAGGACTGATTGTTTATCTATTTTCTGTGATATTTAATGTAAGGCCGTGTCGAGGATCTCATGAATTCTCTTTAAAGGTTAACCTCGCGATCCGACGATAAGGATTTGTCCCGGACGCAATCGTAGAGACAAGTCACTAACATTCCACGGAACTTCCCGATCTTCGTTACGCCCGCCGATAAAAGTTGCATTTTGCGACTGTCGCAACGTCCCGTTAAACCGGCATTCCAACCTGTCTAGAGACGTGCGCATCGCATTATCGTACGACCTTCACGTGGATTGTAATGTTAATTTCCTCGGCCATCGGTCGACGGCGAACGAATCGATAAACTTGCACGCTCTTGCGTCGAACGTATCTCAGACATACATAGCGATCCTATCATCTTCTAATCGAATAATGTTTTTATCGTTTCTTCGCAAAAATATGTAATTGTTGAAGCATAAAATCAAATTTACAAATGTCTAGTCTGGTCGAAATGAAAACGATATAATTCAACAATACCGTTACTAAATCAGTCTTAAAAACTCTCGCAGATTTCGCAGATTTAACGAAATTATGTTCCACTTGCAGGCCCGACAACATCCGGCTGCGTGTGATATTCTGTCATCGCCGTACGTAAAGACACCGATCAAAGGAGTGTTTCTCACATTGAAGTGATTGCCGAGATAGAATCACTACCTCGCGGCGATAATTACGCCGCTTCCACGGACGAAGGGACACGACGACCGAGAAACGGATGCAGAGGCCCATCGCCAAGACAAGATGCCAATTCGCGATGGTACGCGACGGTCCAGCTACCAGAATAGCCGCCGCATGATGAATAGAACAAGAAACCGCGATTAGCCGGGAAGAGAATGGCGTGAGGGATAGGGGCGAACGCGTCATTACCGAAGAAACACCTAGGATGACTTATGGGAGAGCCCGGAACTGAAGAGGCTCGGAGCAAGAAGTCGCGGGGGGAGCGGTCTCAGTTCACGCGATGCATAATTTCTCAACGCGAGGGTTGCATCTTCAGTAAAAAAAAAAAAATCCCGCTCAAAATAACCATATATTAGATTAACGTTAGGTAACACAGAGTTAACGTAGGAAAAAGGCAAAGTTAAAGCCTACGGGAAAATTTATCCTATTATTCTTTTTATTAAATTAATTTAATTTAACTAAGTAAAATAATTTAATTAAATAAAAATAAATTAAAGAGAAAAATAAATTAATTTAATTAAATAAAAAATTATGTGTGTTTTGAAAATAATTCAATAGATAAGTTAATATCTAAATAAATCATTTTTTTTCTGTATAATCTAAAACAATGTTTCATAACTTGATATAATGAGCGGATGGTCCATCCGTAAAATCACATGTTATCGCCATTGTATTGTTTTATGCTTCGTCTCTCGAATACAGAATACGGACGCACGAAGCTCCAAGTAATTCGCGTCTCGAATTAATTATGTCGCTAATGAGCCGCGCGTGAAATTGCGTCACGGCATAATCGCTGGTCGAATGCGTGACGCGTTCGCCACCTTTAACGAGCATGCTTAATCGGTACGTTTGCGGGGAATTCGCGGGCGTGAAGAGACGAAGGGGCGGCGATAAATCACGCTTGAAACGACCTTTGCGGATTCGCGCATTGGCACGCGCGTTTCGACGTATTTAGAGATCGCTACGAATGCCGCGGGAGTCAGTAAGAATCGTATTCGAGGAATGATCGAGAAATTGGCCATCGTTGTCATCCGCGAGAAAGAGTACACTCGATGAAATAGATCGGTAGCTCGTCGCAATGGAAATTTATGGCATGCATGCAAACTCATTAGAATTAATCAATACGATATAATGTTAGTCAATCAGATTATAATTTTAACGATCGTGATTATGATTATACATTTATCATATCGACCATCGAAAAAAATTTCAAGAGAATTTAATACACAAAAGTATGAACGACAAAAATGCAACTCGATAGTTAAGTGGATTAAGTGCAGATTTTCTTCCATTATTTCAAACACAATTTTCATATGTATTCATTCCCATATTAAAATATCGAGATATTGAGTAGCGCACAAATGCCGTATAAATTTAACGAGTCTGCGGTGGCCGCGTTGCACGCGAGTACGATATCTTCTTGCGCACTAATAAGAAGCCGACCGACTAATATTACACGTGTACACCGTAATACACCGAGGCGGATGAAGAAGAGATGGAGGAGGAGGAGCAGGAGACCGCCCGGCGCAAGAAGACCGCATATTTACGACATTGTGTCGCGGGGTGGAGAAACATATTATTATTCCGTTATTAATCAAGCTTTCTTGCATCGCGGTCTGTCAGCCGGTAGCGTGAGATGCTTCTTCTTGCGTGGCACCCAGAGCAAATATCGCGGCGAGTTATCGACGCAAGAATATGATGCATGGGGCGCCATGCAGCGTCAACTCCGCTTTTTGCGGGGTACACCGTGGCTAATGCTCGCGAGCCCGATTACACATTGCTGTGCGTGCGTGCGTGAGTGCGTGTCTCATCCCGCACACGCGCGAAATTGAAACTTTTTTTCTGAGCGTGTGACAAAAGTGACGTAGTAGCAAAACGATCCGCCGCAAATTGATTCAAGCTTTCTAAAATCGAGATCGTCTCGACAGGATTGTTGTTAATTTCATAATCAATAAAATTTAGAAAAAGATTTTTACACACACACACACACACACACACACACACACACACACGCGCGCGCGCGCGCGCGCGCGCGCACGCACGATTTTAGCAACATATAAAAAGAATACTAACATAAGAATTATTTTAGTAATATCGCGTAGCGTAGCATGCGTTCAGAATATTTTCATCGATAATAAGATAGATAATGCAGACAGGTTACAAGTTGGGTAATAAAACGAATTAATCATCGACGGGTGAACGTCAGTATTTTGAATAAGGGGTTAACCCTTTGGGCGATACGCATCGCATCGAACATACCATCGATTCGGTTGATTTATAAATTATAAGAAGCATATACCGCATGAAAAATATACAAAGTACCACTTATCAATTTGTCATATTCGCGAAATGTTTCTTGAATCCGTACGGCAAACATGAAAAGACATATGAAACAATTATATTTTTATAATTAAACAAATATTCTTGTTGTTACACTATAAATACTGTATAGGAAAACACTTATTCGACATCTTTGGTCAGCGCCTAATCTTTTGCGAAGAAAACAAAACAGTGTTAACGTTAACGGCGAACAGGAAAAATCCCGTACGTTGACAAAGATAGAGGAGGCAGTAGCAAAGGCGTATCGATAAGAATGGCAAGCATAGAGAACACTATATCAATGTAATTGACGTAAAGCCCTGGCGTCTCACGATGACCTTTCACCGTAAGCCACCTTTCTACCGTTATCGTCGTCTGTAGTCCCCATGGTGCGAGATACTTTTCCAGAAATCGTTGATAGACGATCGTCTCAAATAAAATACGAAACGCGCGATGGGAAGACGGGCTCCTTCGTGATCGATCTTATGTTGGAAAATTTAAAGAGGAGGGACTCGCGCGGTGATACGATCTCGTGGCGATGGAGAATCGATAAAAATTGATGGCTATAATAACTCCACAAGTGCCAAGATAAAGGTTCACGAAAGATTGAATAAAAAAAAAAAAAAAAAAAAAAAAAGAACAGAAGAAAGATCTTTAATTAATTTCATATAACTTTAAATAAAAATCACATTTATCCATACAAGTGAAATATGTAAAAATTAAATTAACGAAAGATAATTATAAAGTATTCAAATATTAAAAATCATATTTAAGATAATTATAGTATATTTATAGACGAATAAAAAGATTAAAAGAAGAAGAATATTTTCGAAATTCTTCAGGTTTTATTTTTATTTCGTTTTATCGGAAGATTAATAATAAAAATATGCTGCTTTTTAATATTGAAATCTTCTATTTTACAATCGAGCTTGAATGTATTTAGATTCTTTTGACGTTTCAAATGAAATGCGTGTGAATATGGTCAAAGGGATTTAAACGAAAAGTGAAATACTGAGATAATGATCAAGTAGCCTCGCGTATGCTAATGCATCATTACGAAATCGTACAAGCGCCACACACGTTAGTTACACATTCGCCAGTAGTCAGCCTTCATCGCATGTCAGCCGCGTGCCGCTTCGCGTTTGCGATGCAGTAGTCGCTAGTCTATAGGCTGACTGTTTTTGCCAGTCAGACCGGTTTTTATTCCAGCTTCGCGTAATGTATTCAAGCGCGACCCGCCTTTCGCATCCGTGCATAGTGCCCCTCGTCACGTAATTTTTAGTGCCGATTACGGAACTATGTTGCGGCGTGCGCGCGTGCGCGCATGCGCGCACGCGCGCGCCTTATACGTGCGCCTCGAAAATAATCGGACACCCGGTGCGCTTCGAGATTCAAGGGATCTCGCAGATTTTATGGTCTACGAATGACGGTTGACAGCCATCGTCATTAGAGCTTCATTGCCGCCGTTGCGAAACGGCAGTCGCATGTACATGTATAATTGGCGTCCCGCGGGGCGTACCGGTACGAAATTTTATACGCGCGTATTGCCATTTACGGCGAGTGCTCACGACTCCACATGAATTTCTCACAAAATTCTGCGAGAAACCGAGCCGGAAATTTAGATCTATCTCGTCTCGTACTCGACAACTTAAAATCTGCTCCCGATAGAGCATCGATATTAATATATGTCATTTGCTCCTAGGAAAAATGACTTTTGTTTTTTAAGTTAAATTATTTTCTTGTTTCAAAATGACGTTTAGAAAAAAAAAAAAAAAAAAAAGAAGAGATCTAATTCTCCTCTTCCATTAAAATAATTATCATTTTAATTTTACGAAGATACCGTGATTGGAAATAAGACGTGAGATGAATCATCGGGAACACCTTGACACACATATATATATATATATATATATATATATTCTTCTGTAGTCCGTGACACAGCTATGTTTAAAATAACAAGCGGTTAACAATGAGCACGCAAGTTGTTTCTTCTCTCCGGCGACTATTCAAGCGCGTCAAATCAATCTCTCGTGTCCGCCGGTGGGCATTCGCGATATCAATTAATTTCCGTTCTGGCTCGTTCGGACGGAGGATTTCCTCGCGTGCGCGCATTGGTTACGGTTTTTCCGTGTGAAAAACACCGACGAAGGTCAGAGAGGTCGTTTTCCGGAGGGACAAGACGCGGGGAAATCCGCGCGCGTGGAACATGCATCCTCGCCGGTCAAACGCAAATATAACACGCGAAACCATCCGTCTTGCGTGTCACGCGGTGCATCGCTCGCGGGTGAATCGAGGTGAAAAAAGGTAAACGCTGTTATGCGTGCACGTATGTACGAAACAAAGAGAGACGAGCCGAGGCGGAGGAGAGAAACTCTAGACAAACGCGCCCGCGAAATACCGCCCACTCCGCTCATTTTCCCGCCCTTTCCTATTATTCCCTCTCCGAACCGTCGAGAGAGGAATATGAAAGCACACGCTCGCGAGCCGAGTTGCATTTGGGTTAAGCCTAAACAGCAACATCATTCGTACGAAGAATGCCAACCTTCTATCTCAAATTGAACGAAGCTCGATCGACATTTTGAACTGTTTCAGGAAAGAGATGCACGAAACAAAAACGGTTCCGAAGATATATATTTAGCAGTTTTAAATCGTTAGTAAGTTTACTTTTTATTTATTATTATGTTAACTGTATAAAGAGTAAATTCTGTATTCTTTGTAACACACTTCAAATTGGAGAGTGACGTGTACAAAAAAACTGACACATCTTATTTCAGTATTAAACAATGTTCAAATTCCATTTTTAAATTGTAATTATATACAAAAATAGATAAAAAAAAACTAATTAATCAGATTTTATAGACATCAAGAAAAAAGTTGTTCCTTATATATTTAAAGACTGACCTTTTTTAAAAACACTGAAGAGCCGCTCTATAGCTTGAACTCTATCACGCGTTTAATTGAAAATATCACGCTACTACATCGTTAGTTTGATATTACACATCTGGCAGTCT